AGGACGAGAGCAACGCGGGAGCTGATAAGACGACTCGTTTGATAAGACGTGATGAACGCAGTAGATGTAACAGGAAACAAACACACGACAATGTGCGGAACATTAGAGAACGTTTTGACTCTGAACACTGATTCTGAGTTTCCGTGCAGCTCCGTTACATAAACCTGGGCGATACGAGGAGTGTGTCAGGAGCTTTTTATTATGTTGTTACGGAGCGCTTTGCTGTTGAACCTCTGCAACTGTTGTGGCTGAATGTGTCTCAGTTTACAAAAGTATAACAAGTATAACCTCTTCTACTTAATGAATAAATATGATTCTTATTATTAAGACAATGCTGTTGCACCTGCTTTCACTGCTACTGCTTTTCATTTACTACATGAAGAGTGTATTAATGATTTGTCACCTGAAAATGCAAAGTGTTTCCTTGTTCCAGGTTCCCAAGTATCTACTATTTAACTTTAAATTTATATTAGCATATTAGGCTTGCTTTTATTATAGAATAATTGGCTGATTATTATTTAAATAAATCCATATATTTTCAGGTATGTGATATGCCTCAAAATGATAAAAGATCCAAGAGTGGTTTCAAAATGCTTGTTTTGTGCCACAAACATGTCAAAATTTAAAAAATATATTCAATTTACGATGATAGAAACGGAGGAAAACAGCAAATCTGCACATTTGAGATGCTGGAAGTGGATGATTAATTACATTTAGTCTTAACAAATGGCTTAAATGAATCAAAATAGTTACTCATTGGTTTTCTCTGGATTGTTTTTGACGACTTCTTTGGTTAAAACAAGCAATTTTAGGACGCTGAAGTGAGCTTTAGGAAGCTCTACAGACGTTTTTCACTGTTTTCAAGATTCATTATACAAATAGTCAACACATTAATTATTTAGAGTACAAATACAGCATCAGCTATAATAATTATGACCACTGCTTCTACTGCTGCTGCATGACAAACATGATTACTTACTATTAGCGTTGGCACTACAACAGGGTTTATCCACTAATAATAAATGAATGAATCTCAGTTTAACAATCCACACATCTGGGTTGACAGATCAGGAGTTACAGGAATTGTACTTTACATCTGAGAAAGCAAACAGTTTCAAATATTGCTATCTACTTCATCCTTTAAAAAAAGGCATCAGATTGACAAAAACAGACAGATCATGAGGACAAAAGTCTTGTTTGTTTTCAGTGTGCTATAGGTCGAACACTTCCCCTCGTCTCAATTTACATAATCTCTGACACAATCTCCCCCTTTCCAAACTGCCTAAACCCTCCCTCAGTAGTAGAACATTGACTTGACCTGCGGTGGACTTTTTTTTTTTTTTGACAAACATGAATCTTTTTATGGGACTTACTTTGCACTAAACCCACGGACACATTCAGGCTGTAAAGATCGACCCATACGAGGTGGGAAAGCCTGAGTGCTGAACAACCTCCAGTCGCCACCACCCAAGGAGTTTCAATTAGGGTCCTAATTTGAATCGGATGACTTTTGTGCTTCTAAAACTGGACCTCTTTTTCGTTTTCCAGGAGCACTGACAGACTTACTGATCCACCTTCACAGAAACCCTCCTTGTATCAGCAAAACCTCGTCTCCATGTCTCCCTATGGAGAATCCAAGCATGTGTATTCTTCCTGCTTTCCTCCATGACATCACCCTATGACGTATAACTGAGTCAAAACAGTGAGTCGCACAATGCAAGTCTAAATTTCCCCCCAAAAATTAGAGACCAAACATCACTATTCTACATATTAGCTTTTAAATGCCAAAATCCACTGCTGGCCTTGAGAATGAAACATATTTTGTCTGTCTGTGGCCCGATGGTGGAAATATGCTTCCCCGTAGATACACCTAAACATCTGCGCAGAGCTACACAGGTGGTGTTATGGGTAACTGCAGGTCACCGAGGAGCTGAATCTGAATTCCAACAACGCTGCATCATGTGGTTGATCCAGCTCCTGTCAGGGCTCAGGGGATGAAAACAAATGTAAACATACGAGCGACCCACGTGCACGCTTTGCCTGTTTGCAGCCCAGTGGAGAAGAATTCCAGCCGTAGCAAGTACACGTCAATCTTTAGTTTAAATAATGCTGTACGCAGCGTATTTAAATCAAACGTGGTTTGCTGGGAGCAGCTCTGTCCCTGCGACTGCTCTAAATACCTTTTCCTGATAATATCACAGCTTCCTCATACCGCTGAGCTGTCGGCTTGTATTTTAAGGTGACCCCCGCACAGCAGATGTGACGTCTTCTCCAAAGCCATGTGTCCCACTGACACATGGACGCACCGGCGCTGGTGTGTGACACTTGGTCGGGACAGAACAGGCACATTGCAGATGAAGGTGGAGGGCTAAAAGGAGAACGCTTGCTCCGCTTTCTTCCCCTGCTAAGGACTAATGACTGGCTATACTCATTAGAAGACGAACTATGATTAAAAGAAAAAGTGTCCACACATCAGTTTCCAGCAAACTAAGGGATGACGTGAAAGTATTGATTTTATTTAGTGCACCACTTCTACATATGTACAAACAAATAATAGTAGAAGCTGCAATTATGGTATCAACACAACATAATGTATTTTTGACTAATTAAAAAAACAGCACAAAGTCTCATTAGTTGGGTTTTAAATCGCCAAAAGTTCACTTGCACACAAAAATGTGAAGAATGAAAGCGAACTTCAGCCCTGCCACTTCAGGAGACGGCCAACAAAAGCTGCTGCCAAGTCGCTTCTGGTGCGAACAAGAGGTTCTACAGGCAGCCTTTACCCAAAAGTAACCCCGATCCCAAACCACATCAAACCCAGAGGAGGAAAGAAAAAAATCTGAGGACAAAAGTGAAAAATCACATCCCCGAGGGAAATACATTCCAGGGTCGGCCCTCAGTGGGGAAAAAGCTTAGAGGGTTATCCGGGTTTTATCAGGACGGCTGGCCTCCGTCCAAGGATAACTCTGCCATAAAGCGGAGGAGCTCTGACCGGACATTTCAAAGTTTACTGGTGAAATGTGCCCTTAATTACGTAATCTGGGCTAATTCTGGTGCGGGGGGGCCTTTCTTTCTCTGGCTGCTCAGCATCCCCGCAAAGAATCTTGATCTGCTGCTCGTTGCAACATCACACTTCTCCAGGAGTTTAACTCTCCGTTAGCACAGAAGTACGGCTCATATTCTTATATATAAAATAAAGAATGGTACATTTGTGAACAGTGAAGTTTTATCGTGGGGAGTGTTTTATGTTTCCTGCCTGGTTTATTTTGTTTCTAAACACTTCAGTGCAACTCAGAATTGAACAATCTCATCTCACAGACAGAAACAGAACTCACTGCAGCGTACACACTGTTTTATCAAAAGAATAAACCGCTGATACCAATTTCAAACATCTTTTATGTTTCCATGAATGAAAAGGGTCAGTGGTTAAATGAATGCAATAAGGCTGTTCTCAAATACTACAAAAGGTTTGGCTGCATTTGTCATTAATCAAGAAAATGAAAATAGAAATGGAACTGAATGGTAGGTTAACAAGAGCATCAGTGAATGAAGCACTTGGTTATTGGAACAGAGCATTTACATAGTATTTACTATGCAATAAAGCTAACACTGTAGTTAATGGTCTTACACTGGTATAGCCTGTCGGTGTATACTAGAGGTAAACAAAAAGGATTTAAGAGGACGTAGCCTTAAGAGAAAAAGATGTCTGTAAACTACTTCTGACTGTGAATATGTGTCATGCAGCAGGTGATATAGATGCAAACATCACAGCATTATCACACTTTACATGAAGTAATTAAAGTGACATTGGAGAGATTGTATTGATTAGATGGTGTCACAACTTTCTTAGCATTACAATTTGGCTTCTCAGAGCTACAGAAACATCCTTGTAAGCAGAAACCTTCCACCTTTCGCCTAACACAATAACTAATCAATGTCTGACGTGCTGTCTGGTTGACAAAACTCCTAAACCTGTAGCTGGTCTCTCTGCAAACTGGTTACACAGTGACAGCCACAACAAACCCTTGAGCTCCAAGAATGAACAGTCGAGCTGCAATTCTCAACTATGCACAGTAATCATCAGCTGTCTGCAACAGCACGTCTCTGTTTTTATTATGGTTCAAATATGCAGCACAATGTGAAGCATAGATAAGGACAGACAGTTTTTCACAATCAAACACCAAGCTATGAAATGACACTAAGTCTTACTGAAAGAAAAATAGATTTAAATTCTTTTAAGGAATCTCTCAAGAAAATAAAAACACAAACAAATACACACTTACCGGGTTTCTTCTCAGTTATAAGCTTCATAATGAGGCAGAATATCAGCTCAGCAGCTCAAAAGGTGCGTATTTAAGTACAGTAAAATAATATGTATATAGTTATATTTCAAAAAGGTTGTCGGGGATACGTTTAGAGGATCTTCACACAGCGAAGAAAACGCCACTTTCACACATTCTGCGCTAAAACTGCAAACTTTGCCAGATGATCCTCACATCATCCGAAATACTCGGTAAATAAGGGGGCGGGGCCCCGGCTCATTCACCCTTCCTCCTTCAGACAAGAGTCGGCCGCTGATTGGCTGAGCAAAGCCAGGCCCACTTATCAGGAGCTTTTTCACCACCGGGCTTCGACCAATCAGAGCGCTCCAGCTGCAACCCGAGGGTTGATAAAAACAAAAGGGGGTCTCCCTGACGACGGCCGGCTTGTAGATTGGACGGATCAGCCGGAGACGCAATCTGATCGAACTGAGCAGAGCTGCAGGGATTCTGTGGCCCGAAACAATCATTAAACACGATGATGAAACACAGAAAGGGGGAAAAGGGTGCACGCCGGGTGTCAGCGGCTGCATGTCTGTCATTGCAACACGGCGACGGTTGTGCAAACCGGTCGGTGTTGCACGGTGCAGTTGCTGTCACCCGGTTTGGGTCACACAGTCACACCACAGCAATGACTGACACAATAATAGCTGGAGAAAAAAAAAAAAGAATTCTACTTACGGGGTCTGTGCCGCCTCACTGACTCCGTCCTCCTCCGTAGCCTGCACCTCTTGGCCGGGGAGCCGTTGCACTCGGCATCGTCGCCGCGGTGCAGGTGGTGCATGTTTTCGAACGTGCCGCTGCCGCTGGGTCCGGTGCTCGGGCAGCCGAACGCGCTGCCGCCGCAGCAGCTGCCGTTGGCGGCCACGACGACGTGTCCGTGGAAGCCCCTCTGGCTCTGGCCGTTGTTGACATGAAACGGTCCCGACGCTCCCTTCTTGTCCATCATTGACTTGGCTTTATCCATGGCAGCAGCTAGCCTAGCCTAGCCTAGCTTAGCTTAGCATCGGCGGCGGAACGAAACGAGTAACCGGGCTACTTTAGCTTTAGCCGGCTAATATTAGCTAGCGTCCGCTTGCGAGCTGGCGAGGCAACCGTGCGAGCTGCTAACGCCCTAATGTAACGTGTCCGACGCTGTAATAGCAAGCTAAAAGCTGGCGTACATTTTCGAGGTGGTGCGGGCTGAAATGAGAATGAAAACAGTCGCTAAAACACAGCGCTTCGTTTGAGGTCACTCTCGGTCATTTCCCCACATTCAGTCCTGGCAGGCGCAGCGGCAGCCGGTGTGTGTGTGTGTGTGTGTATGTATGTGTGTGTTGGTGGACTGCTACGTCACAGCAGCTCCTCCACAGAGGCCCGAACCCGTTCACCTCCTCCGACCGGTTTTCTGCAGCAAACCCACACCGTCACTCTGCACTTTAAACGCAAAAAGGACGCGCAAGAGCGGACTCGTCCTTCAGCGCAACCACCGCTGGATCGTTAAACTGCAGCGGCGCCGGTCGCTCCGTCCGTCCGTCCGTCGCTCCCTCCGTCCGTCGCTCTGTCCGTGCAGCTGTGCCGCTGTGGGCGCTTTATTTATAAGCGGTCGCTGCTCGCTGTCATCCTCATTCCCCGCAGTCCTCCGTCCACGCGTGATGCGCGCACAAAGCTGCCAGTCAATATATCAGTCACGAAAGCGAACTGTGGTAACCCTGGGGCCGCATGCAAAAGCACAAGCAGTCGTTAAAATGTCTTTCTCGGTTGTCACTGTGGCTTTTGTGCATCAGTTCGTCTTGTAATGGAAACACAACATGCATGCATCAATGTGGTGTCTAATAGCACTTAAAAATAACAAAAAAATTGGTGATTAATGCAAGTTTCAGTGCATTTTTTTAAACTACGTGTCTAAATTGCAGTAACATGCTGTTTATTACCTCTGTGCAATAACACACTACTTACCACACTGCATATAACAGTTTAATTTCTTAGAAAAACCACATTTACATGAATGCTTCTACTTTTTCTACTTATGTTTATACTTTTAGGGGAAAGAAATCTACTCATGTTTATATTTTAGTTTTTCTACATATTTACATTTGTGATTGGGAGCAACTGTGACATCGGCAAATGTCCCCTCCCCTCAGGGATCAGTAAAGTGTTTCTGATTTAATGACATCTTTGCATATTTAAACATAACATCATGCAAACCTTGTAGTACAGGAAATTATAACCTGATGTAAGTAATCCACTGGTGAAGTTTGATGATGGTGATGTCTGTTTGTTAAAATATATATTACCTGTAAATATATGTTATTTTACAAAAACTTTAACTCTTTAAAGGCTGTTTTCTATGTTTATTTCTTACACTCTGAGCCAGAAATCTCTGCTTTCGTAGCACCAAACGTCCCACTTTTATTCCTACCTATATTCTAACTACATGTTATTCCTAAAACAAGCTGACCATGGATTTTCCTATCTGACGATTAACTGTATTTTCTGATTCATGGGATAGTGGCAAAAAATATTGAACCCCCCCGCCTAAATAGTTTTGGCTGTAATATGTCTTTAAAATAAAACAAAAAAGTTTGAATCTGGTTTTGCATAGTGTTCAGATTTCTGTCTTGGAAATTAAAGCAAACTATGATGATCCACAACGTTAATGGCAAATTAGAGCATATTTAATTAAACATTACACCATTTGCATCCTTAAACATAACATTTCAGAACACTTGTAATATAAGAAGTAGTGGTGTAGATGTATGTTATCTACTGGGGAGGTTTCATGGTGATGTCTATCAGTTGACATTTTTACCTCATAGTGTCCAACAGAAATACATAGAATTTGACAAAACATGTCCTTAAAGATCTTTTTCTATTTTTTTTTCTCACAATCTGAGGCAGAATCCTCCACCCTAGTAACACCTCCTTCATGCAGAAAACCAAACAATTCTTTCTGTTTTTACCATTTCTTGCTTGGTAAACGTCGTAATTTTGGCAGTTTTTAAAAATAAAAACATTGCTTTCAGACATACTGGGGGGGGGTTTTCAGACAGTTAATATCATCACTGCTGAATCAACACACACACAGGCATGATTTACTCTTCTGTCCTCTTTGCTGTCTTTTGTGTGGAGGAGTAACTTCTTTAAATTTGCACAAAGAGCTCATTCATTATAAACTCGTGGGCTTTAATAGCTTGTTTCAGGGAGATTTCATGTTTTCTGCACATTCAGATGTTGTGTCAATATCTACTTATTGGTGGTGTTTTTACCTTAAAACCAGTTTTTGGGGTTTAACAGAATCCCGATACCAGACAGCGCCTCAGATAACGAGCTCAGTTTAGATACAAAGGTCAAACAACAGTCTCAGTGTGACAGAGCAAAACAATCACTACAACAACAAAGACGATCCTTCCTTCTTGGCAGCCAGTTTCCAAAACAAATCTATAGATGCCAGAGGTTAGGCTGGATGTACAAGTCTGGAATTGATCATTCCACTGAGTTTATTAGAAACTGGAGAAAATGAAGGACTAATAAAGTGATACCTAAAAAAAACAAATGTTATTGTAAAATATAAGTATTACAGACACGGTTTAAGTTCATCAGATAGTGAATTAATCATGTAAAAATACTACGAAGAGCAAAAATGTACCATAAAGTCGCAAATGGACTCAATTACTGACATATTAGTTGGGTTTTTTCTGTATAATATAATTTTTACGACCATAAGAAACACAATCAGCTACTGGAAATATACTGTAATGAAGTCCATCACACTGCATTAACTGAACAAATGCAGAAATTTCATCTCCTCACTTCAGAAAAAAGCTTTAAACATGAAGATTGTGGCTATAAATAGTACTGATGGAGTCTTTAAATGCTGCCACCTTCTGGTTAAACTGCACCTGGTTGTAGCATCAAAGGAAGACATCTGAGGATAATAAACTGGAGTTTATTAAGTGGGCTCTTATCCAAGTTAAAAGTCAGCATCTTTTTAATGATTCTGAACAGTATTTAACCGGTTGCACCAAATTGTTGTGTAATAAACGGACCTGGTAACCCAGACTCGCTGGAATCAGGTCAACGTGGTGTAAAAATCCCTTAACAGGATTGAGTTTAGTCATTACCCGTCAATTAGACATAGCTCACTATGTCTCAAGCCTCTCCTTGTCTTCTGTAGCACGTGGCGGCACAAACACAACAAACAGACGCTGCTGCAGATACATAAAACAGTCATTTATATCTATTTCTGCATTGTTTGGGTCCTTTTTCTTCATTTTAGTCAAATAAAACGGCACATTTCCAACACTGATTGTATTATTACCGATGATAAAACTCATTGTTGTGTTTTCCTTTACATAAATGGAGAAAGTGCCACAATGAATTTATCCAGAAAAGGCACAAATTGGTGCATAAAAATGACCAGAAGGGAGGAAATGAGGTGTTTGGTGCTTAAAATGAAGCCAGACTCCTGCTTAATGTGTCCCCCCATGTTTGGATGAAATCTATGCCAATGCTCATCACTGTATGTAATGCAGAAAACAATAATTACAATTCATAATTTTTTAAAATTGACCTATTAATCAAATGTAGTTATTTCTAATGTGACTATAAAGTGATTTTATATTTTTTCCAATGCAATCTGGGCTGATTACAGCTGTTTATTCTTTGTAATTAGATCATATATATACCCTGATAACCTGTAAATGTCTTTCCACATTTTACACCTTTTAAACCATCGCTGCTGTTCAGACCTGCACAGGTGCTGCTGAAACACAAACACATGTTGTACATACAGCCACTGATTTAATCTTTCAGTAACAAATAATTCAGCTGCCTTACATCCTAACAAAAACTGAACGCCCTTCCTGCTTCAGTCAGGCATGAAGCTATTTTATTGCTGTATTTTAATGTGGTTCCAAACCAAACACACCTAAACGTGTGGATCACACCGAGCTTGGAAAAACCAGTTTTACTCAACGTGCACCTGCAACCTCAAATAACACGCAGAACAATCTGAGCTCACCTCATTCATCTTATTTGACCTCCTGCTGGTCTTGTGTTGGTTGAATCTGTTGCTTTTATTTTAAACGCTCTTACTAACCTCAGTGGATTAATACTGGACAAACTCTATTAGTCCAAGTTCATCCCTGTTTTTTATTTTCTTACCCGGCTGTGTTGTAAACAAGACAAATCCACACCTAACTGTAGTTCCTGGTATTTCCTACGTATTCACACTTCTGAATTCTGGGGAAAAATGCATTTTATTGGCTTCACTGCTGCCCGTTAAATGAAGACATCAAAGCCATTCTCTGAAGGTGGTTAGCGTAGCTTAGCATAAAGACTGGAAACCAAGGGAACAGTTAGCTGCAGGGTAATAAAGAAAAATCTTAATTTTACAGGATTGTTCCAGTTGTGTGAAAAAGGTTCGAGCATCCCTGAGCAAATTAAGATAAAGGACCAAACTGTATTAATCCAAAGGGAAATTCTGGAAAATGTAAAACTGGATTTCGACAGGAGGGGGATTGCTGAAGCTAATATTGCAGCCGTCCTCAGTAAAAGGCTTTATAGGCAGAATTACAAGCTTGTTTGGCTTTGAAGTGAAAAGAAGTAACTGCAACCACCTGCAGGAAACACACGTTACGACAAGGTTTTCTTTAAATGTTAAAAAAAAATGAATGAATTTTTAAAAATTAAATGCTAACTGTGGCACATACAGAACGGTGGACACCCAACTGAGCCAGTTCTTGGTGACTCATCGAACATTTTTGCAAGTTAAGGGTCTGTTTTCTTGATTTAGGATTTTTCAGCCACTCTTTCCTGCAGATCGCTTCGAGTTCTGACAAATTTCAGGCTTTAGTTTGTGTTTCTTTAAGTTGTTCGTGTTTGATTTTGAGGTTGCATTGTTGTCCTATTGAGGAAGAATGCCTCTTTTCAGTTTCTTGACTCACTGCGTGACTCTTACATGGACTGATATCTAGTGAAATCAGTTCTCTCTTACTTTTCATAGCCTTAGCTTCCCTGTTATATCCTCTGTCAGTTACTTATAGGAGCCTTTAAGTGTTGAGTGAAGCCACAAGTTTAAACAGTCAGATAATATATTTCCTTTAATATAAACCACTTAGTAATATGGATTAATACTGCAAAAAAATGTCAAGATTAGTTTGATAGTAAATGATTTCTAGCGACAAAATGACCCGAACTGCCTTAAATTTAAAGTGTAGTAACAGTTGCATGAACTCTTAAGGTCACATCCAGGCTTTATGATGTCATGGTTTCATTATCAAGCGTCAGGAGCGATTCAAGCACTTGGGCTGATTTTGAGGTAGAAGAGGTTCATCTTAGACTCCACCAGGACACCACTGGATGGAGTAAAGCCACAGTCTCAGCACAGGGATTTAACATGAATCTCCCTCGTGGTCCGTTCACCGGTTCTACCAGGGAAGCTCGGTCCCGTCCCAGTTGTACGCCTTTCCAGTCTTTTCGATGCTCAGAGACTCTATGATGCCCATCAGACAGTTCACGGAGTGCTCCGGGCTGAACAGCTTGTCTTTGGGCACATTCCTGTGATAAGGTCGGGAGAGGTCGGTGTCGACTGTTCCTGGATGTAAAGACACGCACACCACCTGGAAGGATCACCAAAGATAAAGGCCGTGAGTTTAAAGGCACATTTAAGGGCATCACAGATCAGATTTAAAAGACACTTTCTCTGAAGGGACATGGAGGTCATCATTCATCTCCACGATTACCAGAGATGTCGATCTACTGCACCAATGACTCTGAGCAGTGGTTAATCTTAATATTGACCTTATTTGAACTTACAAATCAGTGTTTAAGTCATGTAGAAAATCTGAGGACATACTTAGAACCTTAATTATTGGTTTTCTTTGATTTCATTTAATCTTTAGCAGCCTTCCACAAACACTGTTTCCCAAAAGTTGTAAATGTTTGGAGCCTGAACATCAATGATTGACAGACTCGAGGGATTTACACACAGCAGGGAGAATTAAATGCTGTGGACGTTTTCAGATTTGCCAATTTCAGCTGTAAAGTTAATAAAAATCACATTGGGTGCATAGATGAGGCTTGTGGATATGGATCAAACCAGTTTAATCTCCACTATTAACACGACAAACACACGCTAAAGCAGCTGTAACACCACTTGCCTTTGGTCGACCGCGGCCAAGCTCTATAGACAGATTCCTGGTGGCCATGTTGAGAGCTGCTTTAGACATCCTGTAGCTGTACCAACCACCCAGACCTGACAGGAGACAGAGGACAGAGGAAAATCACATCACGTTAGCCCGTATAAATTATTACACGCATTGAATTTTATTTATCTACAAAGCATTGTTAGGAAAATTACCTTGTCTTTTTAATTATAGATCAATTTCTCATCAAACTAGGGCCCAAGATTTTATAGTCTTGGAAAACACACTCATTAAAACTGAGATCGAGAAACAAGCTTTTAAATATTATGCACCTAAAAACAAAATTCAAAACCAGTTGAGATGAGACAGTCTACTCCCATGTGACAGGTTTAAGGCGCTGGTGTCCAACATGGAGCAGTACGAGAGTTTTCTTTAATTTTAACTTGTACACTTTCTGTATGTGTAAAATGTTTTATTTTGATTGTGTGTGATGTTTATTCTGTATGTGAGAGTCTGTGTAAATATCTATTCTTTGTATTTTATTCTGTATTTTAGCTGAAAATGTGTTTTTTGCTTCTTGTCATGCTGACAGGGCACCCATGAAAAAGAGAGTATCTACTCTCATTGGGGCTTTTCCCTGTACAAATAAAGGCTAAAGTTAATATGAGAGCACTTCACTTTCATGAACGTGGTCTGTCTTCTGCTTCAGGCTACAGCAGTGGTGTGTCGCCTAAATGATACCGCAGGGGTTCTATGGGTCATTAAATCTGATATTCAGCATTTTCCTGATTATCACTATTGTTCTTTTTCTAAACTCAGTCCCGACGTTGCTGCCCTGACTCACATGTTTCCTTATTAACAAGTAACTTAGCATTTTATAGCCTGGATTGGTGCCTGCTTTGTGTCTCTTTGTTTCATAATTCTGGAAAATTGTTCACTACTGACCTGAGAATTGTTTGTTGGATGTACGACATTGTCTTGTTATGACGGGAGGCTGGAGCCAGGTTAAGTTTTATTTGTAGTGAGCACTTTTGCTAACTTGCAAGCTATGTACATGTTTAGACATCAGGTTTATTAAAGCTGTTCCCACCTTTTTGGTTTAGTGAGCTCAGATGTAGATTTTACATTCTTTCATAATGACACAGACGAGGTGAGTGAGTTTAAAACTGCTGGTTAGAGGTTCTCCTTTTGTTTATATTGATTTCTTTTATCTGAGTAGCATCCACTGAGCTCGATTGCTTCGTATGTAACCTGTGTTGACTTGTGATATAATCACAGAAATCTACATGTCAATAAAATCACATTGAACTCTGGTAAAACTGTGAACATCTGGTTGTATATTCCTGACTCTGATTCCAGAACAAGCTGAATTAAAAAACACAATAAAATGATTGTATTTAGAAAGTAAGTAGAAGAAACCTACAGAAAATAGGAGCTGACTGATTATCAGATCTGATTTTCACTTTTTATCTTGATTATATTGGTTTTTTTTTAAGCAAATGTAAATTAACTTTAAAATGCACTACTTTAGCTCTGAAGCAGCCTCCTGTCTCTGTGTGTTATCACCACACTGAGCTCTTGTGCAACATCCTGCTCACAGCACTATCTGGCTGGTTACACATCAGTCCATCAACGCTGAAGGATAAAGGTTGAAAGTACGACAACAAAGGCATTTAAACAAAGGTTTGTGTTGAAGTATTTCTAAGGTTTGACACCAAGGTTTTCAGTTCTCTTGCAACTGGTTTGCTTTGAATCACTATCAATAATTAGCATCGGTATCCGCCCTGAAGAAACTTACCAGCCGACTCCTCACAGACTCTTCACTGTTTGACAAACTTGGCTGAAACCTCTCCAGCAATAAGAACTGACAGATGTTGGTTTATTTTTAATTAAAGGCACTGAATAGAAAGATGCCACCAAACATAACTTCCTCGTGAAACTCGTCCAAAAATCATAATTGAACTCACGCTGCACACACCCTGAACATTCTTAACACACTGTACCTACAGGTCAGTTAAAACCATGATTACAGCCGGTTGATTATAACTGTTTTTAACTGTGTTCTGTTGTTTGTCTCCATGTTAATTGTGGCCTTTTTATGCTGTTCTGTTGGAGCACTCCGCATAATTAAACATAAGGGCGTGCCACTGACTCCTGGAGGTAGAATGAGGAGTGTTTCTGAACAGGTACCGTTGTCTCCGATGGAGCCGACTTTGGCCGTGATGTTGACGATGATGCCGCCGTGCTGCTTTGCTTTCTCTGCCGGCTGCTGACCGAAACCGCCGCCGCCCTTCTGAAGGAGCGGGGCAAAGTACTTGGCCATGACCAGAGGACCCACTGTGTTGGTCGTCAGGGTGGAAATGACGCCCTAAAACAGAAGACAAGCCTCTCAGTTTATGGTTTGACCAAACCAGTAACATGAAGGGTGTCTGGTGGAGCTCCAGGAGAGAAATGAATAAATGAATAAATGAATGAATGAATGAATGAATGAATGAATGAATGAATGAATGAATGGGTGTGATAAATGCATCAATATGCCAAGTCATTTATGAGTAATCTGGGGATTATAGAGGCCTTCGTGTGGACCTAATAGTTGGCATTTTGCTGCTGTTCTTTTGGTATATTTTGAGTAAGATTTATAAGAAACAAGCAGGTAAACAAGATAAGACAGAGCTTTATTAATCCCGAAGAAAGGAAATTACATAACATTAGAATAAATGCAGTGCCCAGAAAAAAAAGAAAAATGAATAAGATCTAAGTATATTATTAAACATAAAAATAAATAAACTAAAATAAGACTAGAATAGAAAAGGAAGAAGAAATACTGGCAGTGATTCTTAAGTCGTAAAGTAATATTACACACAACGGTGAAATATTATACATGATAATGACATACATTACATGAAATTGAAATATAAAAATATAGCAGAAACGTGTATATTTCGTTGGAAGTAATACAGTGAGAAACTCTGAATTTATGCCGATCTTATAAACAAACACCCACTAATAAACCAAGATGATATTGTCTCACAAAATGTTTATTTTTACTGACAAATCTGGCCAAAGTTAAAATGACAGAAAATTTGAACGGAGTTTTGAACTGAAGCCCAGACTCATTTAGAAAGTTATTTGTGTTTTAAGTATATTTCCCCCCTTGACAAAGTAAGACAAGCAACTTTAATTAAAGAAACAAGCTCTACCTGTGCAGAAACATCCCTCAGGCTGGTCTCTCCTTTCCCGGATGGGTGAAGCATCGCCGAGGCGTTGACGATCAGATCCAGCCGCCCGAAGCTCTCCTTCACCCGCTCCGCAGCTCCGCGGACGTCCTCCTCCCGGTTCACGTCCAGCTTGAGGACCGTCACCCTTCCCGGGTGTTGGCCGGCCAGACCCCGCAGGTCGGCCGCCCCGTCCGGGTTGCGACATGTCGCTACGACAGCGGCGAGGCTTTTGTTTTTTAAAATGTGTTTGCAGAATTCAAGCCCCAGTCCTCTGCTGGCTCCTTGAATCAGCGCGACGGAGGCCGCCATGGCAGAGAATGACGTCACAGTAGTAGCTGCTGCCTTCAAGTTCACACGAAGGCTCGGAATATCGAAAGTTGAAAGGTCAAACAAAAAAAGGTTATTCTCCAAAACGACTTTTTGATTTTCGTTAAGCATATTTTAAAAGGTTAATGTGGAAAAGCGCTGAAACTGTAAAGCTGTGTTTTGAAATCAGAAATTACAAACTTCGAATGTGAAGCCAACGAGGAAAATTGAAGGTAGCATGTTTCAAAACAAACAAACTGCGCCCCCTGTAGGTCATTCTGAAGACACTTACACAACTTTGAGTGAACACGTGTTTTGTAATCATAATATTGATATAAAGGAGTAGCATGTGTCCGCAGACTGTTTATAAAATTAACGAAAACAAACAAAAACAAGCAATAAACAAATAAAATAAATATAAATATAATATCTATGGTCTGCAACAATGGAGCTGCATTTTCAGGACTGCACTTCAGCTGAATTGCACAAGTACACCCATATTCCATCCAAATACGTCTTTCTGTGCAAGTTCTTACAGTTTTAAACGTTTATTTAAGTTTAAGCCCTGGATGTAGGCCTTTAATTGTGAATGGGAGAGAATTAGTTGCTTCGTCCTCCAGTCCTGTAGGTGGCGGTAGCTTAATGCTAACCGACGATGACATGCTGGGAAAACCCGTTCAGATATTCTCTGTATTCATTGTAATATGAATTAAATTGTGCCCATACAAAATATACATAGATTAAAAAAATAAAATGAAGTATATTTACGACATATAAACACGTACCACATAAAAGGTTTGTGTGCTTATAATGAATCCGTAGAAGAAGTCGGTTGCCTAGCGACCGGGGGAAGTGTAGCGTCAGCTAGCAAGCTAGCAGGTCGGCTAACACACGGGCTATGTGGCTCAAAACAGCGGGTCAATGGCACCAAAAAGAAGAGGACCGTTGCAACTTGTCCAGAGAGAAGTGGACGAAATCAAACAACAGGTTTGTTTGAGATCAGAGGGTCAGAGTTTAGCGCGACTGAGCCGAAGCGAAGGTTTTGGAGTCTGATATGAAATAACTACGAAGAGGGACGTTTTGGCAGCTGTAGCACAAGTTGTACTAATAACCGACCACTTTGCATATAAAGTGCTCAGCGACTTGAACTTGAACATAACACGTCTTGCACGGTTTTAGCAAATAAACTCTTTACAGACGTGGTTTGTTCCAACATCCACGAACATCTGTACGTATGAGCTCATTCAGTGATGGAAGGAAAAGGCTGGGAATGCCCTTCCAATAAGTACTTCTTTGCTAATTAACTCATTCTTGACTCTTTTTAAAAATGCATTTGAGGATTTATAATTTCTTGAATTATATGTTCATGTAGAAAGCAGGGAAACCTTAAACTGACAGGTTTTGAGTGAAGTCAGGCCTGCAGTGTGGACACTTTGGCATTGAACCACACTGAATACACTGATTGAATACACTCATTTTGCCACATAGAAAGATGTAAAACGTGCATAATTGCAATTAATCTGCTGTGCAATTCAGTCCCCACTGGTGTCAACACTGGTCTCCTCTTATTGTTCTTCTAACACAGACTGACAGTGTGGTGAAGGATGTGCAGAACCAGGTTGGATCCACTGAAGAAGCGTTTCGACGGTAAACACTCCAGCTAAGACTAAAACCGTCATCTGGATGAGAACTAAAATGATCCTTTTTTTCCACCCGTTATGATTCAGTTGGTTTAATCACCTTTTTTCGATGTGTTAATGTTTTGGTGGTGGTCTAAATACTCACTTTCCAACAGATGCCAAGAACTGCAGATGTCATCAGAGGAGACATTGAGGAAACTGAAGAAACTTACAAAGGTTTGTGCTCTACTGGAGTCTATCCCAGCTGACTCAGGGTGAAGGCAGGTTCACCTGGACAGGTAGCCAGTCTATCGCCAGAGGAGACAGACAGCCAAGCACACTCATGTTCACACCTACGGACAATTTAGAATCACCAATTAACCTCGACATGTTTTTGGACTGTGGGAGGAATGTAAACTCCACTCAGAACTTCTTGCTGCGAGGCAGTGGTGTGAACCACCGCGCCATCTTGTCTAGGCTTATATAAAAGGCCAATGTCATAGAAAGTCAGATATCACTAGCAGATTCTTAGCCGTTTTCTCAGCACTATTCCAGTACACATTTCTAAACTTCCTGTGTTACATCGTGTTGTGTTACAATTTGACGCCATAATCTGTTGCTTGGTTTTCCAGGCTGATGAACTGGCTCCGGTGGGGAACTATGATCAGAGGAAAGAAGAAGTGGAGAGACGGCTGCAAAGCATCTTGGAGCGTCTGACTTCGCTCTCCCTGGAGCTTTCGCCACCCGGACCCAGCACTGCTGCAGGGTCAGTTACCCGTGTGTGAGATAATACCTGTAAATGATGTGCATAGCTACGTACCTTTTTTTTTTTATTATATACATGATATTCCCTTCAACAGTTCAATCTACAAGATGTATTGTAAAGCATCAGGTTACATTTCTCACATTCAGTGCATCTGAAATTTAACTTCAGTGTTTATTTAGGTTGTAGGAGAAACATAAAAACTTAGCTCAATGTGTTTTGATCCACAGCAATGTTTCAAAGGAAGATAGTGAGGATAGTACGGATGAAGATGACGACGAAGACAGCAATGACGACGACGATGACGATGACGACGACGACGACGACGACGACGATGATGATGCTGATAACGATGGTGAAGATGAGAAGAGAGCCGTGAAGCCGCCGTCTCAGTCTCACCCTCGCATCTTCAAAGTCCTCAGTGATTTCAGAGGACTAGAGAAAGGAGACCTGTCTGTTCAGGTGAAGCTCTTCTTCTTCATTCAAAAACAAAAGATAAATCACACACTGACTACATGCCAGCAACATGCAGTGGTCTCTGGAAACGGTGGTGCTGTTTTCATACAGCTTTCTTGCAGTTTAAATGTTGCATGTTCCTCAGTACTGAAGGGAATCTTGGAGTTCATATAAAGTCGTCCGTCACCTTTTTATTTGTTGTTTATTAGTTATGAGCAGGATGAGTTAATCAGGACTGTTAGAGCTCTGGTCACCCAAGTCCACAGTCCAGCAGGTGGATGTGAAGTTGAAGCAAACCTGAGAGAGAAGAAGAATGAAACCAAATACCCCTGACAGGCTTGCCAAGTGCATGCTTATTTAATTTCAGGTTGTCAATTAGTGTGTGTTGTGTACGTTGATGGTTTCTTACATATGATTTTCTAATCGTCATATAAAGTAATGAGTCATTCAGAGTGTTTCAAGCAGCTTAGAAATGTGTAATCTGAGGATATGTCCTTCAGTGTAAATATTAAATTGTTGAAAAAGCCCAAATCTCAGATGAAAATGAAATAAAATCTGCAAATAAAAAAAGCACTTAAATGCCAAATATTTTTCTGAGATTTAGATGCACTTGGCAGGTTTTGTCTCCTTGGCTCTCAGAAAGTAAATTAAGTCTGTTTGTCGATAACTAATATGAAGCTTTTAAGTTAATGTGTCTGTTGTTTCAGAGGGGTGAGGTGTTGAGGGTCATAAGGATGCCAGCAGATGGATGGTGGCTGGCTCAGGACACTAAAGGCAACAGAGGACTGGTTCCAAGGACCTTCCTGAAGGTATGAAAGTTAACACATCGCAGTTACTGTTCATTTCAGGCAATAATTCAGCTACTGAGCTCATCATAAAACATTACTGTGGACATTAAAGTACAGCCTGCTGTTGTGTATATCAAAGATGCTTCAAGCTTTTGCAGAATTTGAACCAATAACTTTTCACTATGAAGGTTTCTGTAGCAGAAAAAGCACAAAGGGAAACATCACCGTCAGAGAAACTCTCATATGCATTAAACTTTCTGGTGTTGTTAAATTTAAATGTAGCTGTTATGTGTTAGATGGCCTCTAGTGTCGACGTTGAAGATGATGAGGGTGACGACGACGATGAGGAGGAGGAGTCGGAGGAGGACGAGGAGGAAGAGCAGGAGGATGAAGAACTATCCGATGACAAACAGAGGTTCAGGGTTTTAACTTTAATGACTATGAACTTGTAGATGATGATAACTTTCACCAGATCTATCAGTCATTAACGTTATTATTGATCTTTTTCTCTGTTCTTTGACGGCAGTACTTCACACACCAACTGGTCGACTGTCAGAAAGGCTCTGACTGAGGTAAAACTGTGCATTTATTATTATAATTATTATAAAGCACTTGAACTGATGTTACAGCTGATTTACCTGTAAGGGACATTTCATCCCACAATCATACATTTTTTTTCTGCTCAATCATCTCTGATTTGCAAGATTTTTGTAAAGAATGTGGATATTTATTTTCCCAATTATCCACTTTCACCAAATTTTTTGCATTCAGATTTGAGGCTATGTTTGGACGACAGTTTTTCCTGTTATTTCTCTTTCAGAAACTACAAAATTGGATAAATAAATAAAAAAATTCTCAGATTATGAGTGAATTGAAATATGAAATAAATAAATAAACTGAAGGCGCCATTAAAAGTCCAATCTTTGAGCTCAGATTAACAAAAACATCAGAGTCAACTAGTGATATTTCCATCCATCCATCCGTCATCTACACACCGCTTAATCCTCAGATGACTTTCTTTTAACTTTAGTTACTGATGGAGTAGGTATTATAGAGGACTTGTCATGACAGCTTTTCATATTTTAACTCACCCACATTCAGAGACAATTTAATCTGCTTGTCCAATATTACTGAATCAGTAACACGATGAGAACAAACAGTGACGCACTGAGGCAGAGTTAATGAGATATTGTTGCTCAAATATAGCCTCAAATGTGTAAAAAGTGCAAAAAGTGGGTAGATGGGCAATTAAAAACATAAAATAATAAAAAATCTGAGACTTTGCTTGATGTATTTACCACAGTTTTCACAGATACCATTTTAAATATTCATAGTTTATGATAAAAAATAAAATTTCAGTCAGATGATAGATGAGGACTTGAGACGTAATAACCCGTAGATAAATACAACAGTTTGAACTGTGTATGAAATATATTTATGGTTTTTGCTGTGTGTGCGTGTGTGTGTGACAGATTGATGCAACAGATGTGCTGTCTGCCATGGGGGCCATACCTTCAGGATTCAGACCATCGACTCTCAATAAGCTGCTGGTGGAGGAAGGTCATTATGCAGCACGCATGCATCTGTTAGTGTGTGTGTGAGCCCTGTGTCACACACACTCACTAACAAACAGAAACACACAGGTTCACACTGAGTGAAGTCAGTGGAGGCCTGGGGAGTTTAGTAAATTGTAGCTCACTGGCTGACTGGCTGCTGAACTTCATGGCTGTTACCTGACAGTTATTATGAGGCTGAAGCAAACCATTGGTTGCTTTTTATTATTACTTCTTGCTTTCCTCACTTGCATCCTTTCCTTAGCTCCTTCCAGCGAGGGTATTAGACTAAGATATGAGGAAGAATTGCAAAGATGGAAGAGCTGAAGCTTCCAAATTCGAAATCCTTTGTTCCATAGAGTCAGTTTAAAGTAATGCTGGTGACTTATGACAGACTCCACAGCTGTATCACCTCTGGATATCCCCCATTAAGGCAGAGGGGAATCAATTCCTGGGTCACTGGAGGAGAGAGGACACACAGATGCAAAAGTCAGAATAATGAAAAGCACCTCCTGTCTCAGTTAATTGATCATTTTGTCTGAAAAATATATTAAAAAAAACAAGTAAATCATAATTTGCTTGAGTCTAAGTGATGTTCCTGTTTGCTAGTTTTCAACAACCAACAGAGAAAAACTCAAAAACATTCAGTTAAACATCATGGATAACACATTTTCCTGTAAAAAAAAGACTAAAAATCCATTTGTACAAATGGCTGAGGATTAATTTTCTATTTGCCAGTTGATTGAATTTAATCTAGTTTCAGCTCACAGTGAGAAAATGACACCCAGGATGATCCTTTTAGACACTGACTGCACACTCCCTGCAACAATCACTGCCTTAATAAAGAATGTACGTTTTTCAAACTGTGCCAAAGAGGTTAAACTCCATTTTTGTTTCATTAAGTATATTAGTTATATGACTTTATATTTGTACGACTACTACTTAGACGGATTAAAAGACAATGCTGTAAGCCTTTGTGTCTTCTTCCAGGTGAAACATACAGAGGAAGTCACTACATTCAGCCTGAGCTCAGCCAATCACAGCTCTCCTTTAAAGACCTCTTCCTGGACCCGGACACCGGCAGGGTGAGAGCCTCCTTCTGTGTGTTTGTTCATGTTTGTGCATAATGTTGTCATTAACATGCTGTCCTGGCTTCACATTTCTGAATCTCCTGCGGCGTAGGTTCGCTCTCGCCAGGTCAGGACTTGTGTTTGCTTCACGCTGTGGAGCTGCAAGATGATTCCTACTCCTGGGGTTGGAGTTCAGGTCCTCAGCAGACACATCCGCCTCTGTGCCTTTGATGGAACTCAGGTATCTGTTGTGCATAAAGCTTATCGCCTCGCTGCACTTCCTCACACTCCTCATGTCTCTATAGAGTAAAAACACTTTAATTAATTCTGTTTAATTTTTAGTTAACAGCCAAAACTAGCCCGCAGCCCACCAGTGCTGCTGCAGAGTTGAATGCAGATTAGGTTTTTTTAATTTCACGTCTTTGTGTTTTTGCTCCAGGTGCTGAGTAACATCCACACAGTGAGGGCAGCCTACAACTCCAAGAGCCCCAAGACCTGGAGCTTCTCCCCGAGGGTACGAGTGAACCCCGGCAGCATTATAAAAACTGAATAGAAACTCTGTCTGCAGTCAAACTCTGATCAGGGTGGCCATGGGTATAAACAGGTTGCATTAAAAAGACTTTTAAAGACCTGATTAATACGACTTTAATTGAAATTTAAGACTAAATTTGTGATGGAAACATACACCAAAAGTAAAAATATACACTTTCCAGCTGAAGGTAGTCACAGGTGTGTTGCTGTAGAGCTAGAAACTGTTTGGAGGTCTGATGTTAATGATGGAGTTGTTACTATAAGATCCATTTTAAGTCCTTGCTAGCGGTAGAGAGAGTGGAGCAGAAGTGGAAACAGGATTCAGTTTGCCTTGTAGAACACCTAAATTTCTTTCTTTGTTTTCTACAAATAGCAACACCTTTCCTTCTATCATCAAGTACAGGGGCATTTCACACTGGAAATCCTTGCAGTTACTTGACTTCAGAACCTTTAAGACCCATCCAACCTGAATTTAAGACACTCTCCAAGACTCTTTATCAGTAGATGTGACATTCTAACACATCTCAAAGACCCGCGTTCGTCCTGTCTGAGGATTCTGCTGAGCTGCAATGATAGAAACAGTCCACAATCTGAAATCCAAGCACGTGTTTGTTTGTGCGTTTGTTCCAGATGACGGGGATCCTGCCCACCCTCCTGGACGGAGACTGTTTCCTGCGCTGCGACTCTACGTCTCCTGAACTCGGCATCCTCTTTGAACTGGGAGTCACTTTTATACGAAATGTAAGGACACACACACACGCAGACATTGATGAGGCAGCGAGTAGCAGCCGGCAAAGAAAAATCCCTACTTCACTCATTTAGAGGCAGGAAAAACTCCGGTGTGCGTCTGTTTCTTAGTCTACAGGTGAGAGAGGAGACCTGAGCTGTGGCTGGGCTTTCCTCAAACTGACTGATGATGCTGGAAATCCACTTTCAAACAGGTACATGCACTGACTCCGCTAAGTCAGGATTATAAAGCTGCAGTAATCCAGACGTACACACAGTTAAACCCACATGTAAATATGAAATCACACCAAAGGCTCTCACGTTGTTTTCTTTGCAAACGTCTAGAGTGAATAAAAGAACGAGTAACTTGAAAGGAAACCTACTACAGCTACATGAGTGTAAAAATAGACTGACAATAATAATTTTGCACTTAATGCTTTAATACTTACAGGACCTACGAGCTGACTGTGAACGGTGGCACCCCCTATGAGAGGGACGTACCAGTGGAGGCATCACTCCCGAGAGGATGTAAGAAAACACACCAGACTCAATACATAAACTTCTACTTTCAAATGTGATGTGGTAAAAAAATCAATCAAAATCTCTCCCCTCAGCTCCAGGCGGTGTTTTCCAGCAGATGCGCCAGGCCAGGCGGCAGCCCAAACTCATCGTGAAGCTGAAATCGGCCAACAGCCGGACCAGAACGCAGCTCAGGTGGGAGGATCGGCGAGGAAGCTCTGACAGCAGAGCTCCGCAGACTGGATTATGAGAGCTAATTCAGCATTAATGAATCATTACTAGATTTACTTGGACACATCCTTGGCTCACCCTCGGCACTTTTTCCCTCTTCAGTCTCCTTCCAGACACTCTGCTGCACTGTTTAAGCTGCGTCCACCTGCTGGCTCTGCACAGGCAGCTGCTGGCCGACGCGCTGCTGATGGACCGGCCCACCATGCAGAATGCAGGTAACCAATGCCGTCAGTGCCTCTTGTCTGAACTGAACACTCAGTAAAAACTCTATTTTAATTATTCTGTCTGTGTTTCAGATCTCATATGCAGTCCTATCCTTTCAACTTTTCCAGTGCTGTTGGACCAGACGGACCTTCTGGATGCTCTCAGGGTCAGAAAAGAGGACAAAGTGGTCAAATTTATATCAAGCTGTGTTTGAAATTCGATTAATTTAACATCTGTGTAATTCATTGGCTTCCCAGTGTGGGCTGAATTCGTTAAAAGTAATTTTTTTTGTCCTGAGGATGTTTGTGTGGCGAAATCAGAAAGCTTGAGGAACAGCATCCAGACTTTAAATGACAGAGATGCAATTCTTCAAGGATTAAGAGCTCCTTATGTAACCTGATCCATCACATCTGCTTTATAGCCTGAATACTGCTTTTAAATTATTGGATTTACAAAACAAACAAAACGATTGAGCCAAATTTGATTTCATTTAAACAAATGTTTTCTTTCAGAGCGCCTGGCTGGAGGCTGAGACCAGCATGAGCAGAGCGCAGAAGGTTGGTGTTTACTTGTATTACTAGTATAATGTTGTGAGGACATATGGCACCTATAAAAACTCCCCGTGGACGTTTCAACATTAAATTATTGTTGATTTAATCTGGTGTTTTGCACAAGAATTTATATTAAAAAAAAGATTCTTTAATGGTAATGTGAGAAGACATTTCTACAAACAAATGTCAATTAATTAAAAATATAAAATGTAAAAGAAGTGATTGTATACAGTATTTAGTCGATTACAGCATTGAGCCAGTATGGATCGATCTAAATCAGCTTTGCACATCTGGACACTGCAGTTTTACCCCATTATTCTTTACAAAGCCGTCGCATTGCACAGTGATCATGAGTGAGAAGCCCCTTTCAAGTCCAGCCGAGAAGCATCCCCACACCATGATGCTGCTGCCGCCGTGCTTCACAGTAGGAATGGCGTGTTAGTGATGATGTGTGATGTTTAGTATCCGTCAAACATAGCGTCTAGTCTGATGGCCAAGAAGCTCAGTTTCAGTTTCATCAGACCAAAGAACATACTTGCAGTTGACCTGAGAGTTTTCTAACAGTTTCTTTACCATGAAGCTTGTGTCCGTCCCCTGACTTATGCTTTATAATAACCTTTACTGGTCTTGTGTCTTCGTGGTGTAGTTCTAGCCAACACTACTGTACTGATTCACCAGTGACTGGACCTTCAGTATCCAGGTGTCTTTACACAACAACCACTTGAGAAACCTTCACTGCACTCAGATGGTCTCCATTTTACTAAACGTGTGACTTGAGGGGGTGAATCCTGATGGAATAACTGTCAGAAAAGCCTCATTAAATTGACCATGATTCAGTGTTGAACAGCGATGAAGCAGTGTTTATGTAGGATCAGCCTACAGTAAATTAATGTAACTTGCCTGAAGTGATAGCAGCACAGCCCAGCGTGTAGCACCAGTACAGACCCGTAGAGGGCGCTGGTGGCTTTTCTCTGTAAACAAATGTGTTTGTAGATCTGATGTGGATCCTCAGTAACCCGTTCCTCCTCCCCGTGTGTTTGCAGAGAGACTTGTCCCATCTGAAGCAGGAGTTCATCAAAGTCTACATGTCGTCCGCGTACTTCCTCCTCCACTCGCCGTCGCTGCCTCGCCACCGCTGGGCCGACCCGTCCTCGGAGGAGCAGCGGGCCAGAGTCGTCTATGCCACCCTGGAAACTCTCAAAAGCCACCAGCACTCCACAGGCCAAGTGGGACGGCCGGAGGTCTTTGTGGACCAAACGCACTCGCACCTGGCCTTCGATATCACGGAGCTGACATTTGACCTCCTCCGTGTTGCTCGGTAGCCAGGATGCGGGTCAACAGTGCCTTTGGGTCGGAGTCGGTTACCCTCACAGTACATTCTGACCTAAAAATTCAACACTTGGTTGGTTTATAAGACGAATAGTGTGCCATATGTACAGTTAGACAAGGCCGGCAATAATCTATATTTTCATTATTGGTAATAAATTCTATATGGCTTCTTCTGTGTAAGAGATCATGAAAAATCAGTCACTGTGGTTCCTAAAACATCACCCAGTGCAACCGTTCATGTACTTTTAATAGATTAGATTACATTTTCGACACGTTACAACACAACTCAGACACACTGGAGCAGTTCTGTGTCGGTTTAACATGAGATTCATTCACAGCAGCACAAATATAGACGATAGTCAGACTTTGCCTCCAGGCTGCTAATAAAAAGCTGACACATAAAGAGCATTTGCATCTTTTTGTACGTTGTGTTTACATGAGATTATGGCTGCTGACTGCCTGAATATTTGTGAAATAAAAGCTTTAAATTATCATGACGCTGAGTCCGCTCACTCCTATTATAGCTGCTACAAAACATGTCGCAGTGAAAAGGGAAGACACTCGTTGTTTGATTTGTAATAAATATCGTTTCAGTATCGGTTGTTGTTTCGGCACCGTCATCTCGACTGGTCACCGAGTGACTGCCGGCATCTCCACCCATTAGTTCAACATCAGCGCGTCTTTGTGTGTGAGCAGTGTAGAGTTACAGGACATCACAACAGGGTTAATAATCAGTCCGCTGACGGCTTTTTATAGGCGGGTATAAAAGAGCCGGAGCAGCGGGAGGTTGGGTCAGTCTGGGCGAAGCGGCTCCACCGTACAGCAGGTTCAGATATATAGATATTAGTGTTCATGGAAATTAGAATGAAACAGCAAAAATGTTTAACAGGCTCTTAATTTGTCTGGGTCATTATTCAGAATGTACAAACTTTAAGGTGTTATTTATCAGAAAAAATTCATTTAAATTGACAAATAATTCAAATTGTGGCCTCCGTGATGTAAGGATAGAACAACAATTGGCTTTAAATTCACTTAAATGGTCCAACACACCACAGCTTCTGTATGAAATAAACACTATTAGTAGAGTTTGTCATATCTGTTCACAGCCAGGTCTCCTGTTTCCAGCCTGGTATGAACACACGACTGTAACTGTGGTGTAAAAAATTAAAAAATATATATTTCTTGAAGAGGGAAACACAAGTTCACTCCCATCCCTAAGTTTGAGTTCATGTTTCAGACAAACTAAAAGCACAAATTCCTTCGTCTCCGTCAGCCTGCATCATGGATTTAATCTTAAAAGTAACTCTTGGTCCACATCTTGACCTCTGAACTTTAAAAGACCTCGTTCTGGACTAAAACACCCCCCGGACAGACCTCCATGAGGGGGGTCCTCCTGAGTGTGTGCAGACTCCTGCTCAAACACATCGGCTCTTTCTTCGCTTCGGTGTTTGCAGGTGAATCATATTCCACATCCTGTATTTCCACATTCCAGCGCTGTTGCCGTGGTGACTGTAAGCAGCGCCGTGGTGACCGTTGGGAAAACTGGATTATCGTCGAGGTAAACGTGGTGGAATATCTGAAAGCAGCAACAGGACGAAGGAGGAGAGAGACTGTTTGAGCAGCGACACAAGACTGACTAGTTTTGTGATTTAAAAAAAAATAAAAAATTTACAACTTTAAGTTTGTCTTGATTGGTAGAAATGATCAAAACCAATGAGGGAGCTGTGTTTTTTTTTTCTTCTTTTTTTTGTGGTTGAAAAGATGTATGAATATAATAAAAAATAAAATATTCCGACAAGTTAAACAGAAAATAATGGTTCTTCTGTAGCATTACATAAACATGCTTTTCACATTTTTACAGTAATTTTTTGGACAATTTATCGTTAAACAGATTTTCCTTTTTTTTTAGGTTTTGATAATGACTAATAAAATAACAGAAAAGTATTAATCCACTTGTAAACAGTTAAAAACAAAAACTAAAAACTAAAAACTGTAAATAACATCCACATAAAAAAATCTTTTCTCTACAAATGGTAATTTTATTTTATTTATTTATTTATTTTTTACATTTGACCATAATATTACATTTTTTCTATGAAATTAGCCCAAAAAACAATAATTATTTTAAATATATTTGTAGTTATTTTTAAATTTAAATAACGTATTTTAAGCATTGAAAATTTATTACAAAAAATTAAAAAATTACACATTTCCCACTTTGTTAAATTTCAATTAATAACCATTTAAACAGTGGATAAAAAAAAAAATTAAATCAAGTTTATTGTCATTTTTCTGTACATACAACAGTAGTACAAACAGGATAACTAATGAATAGCTTATTATAAGATATATACTTATCAACAACAGTATTGATTTACAAGTTGACAGTAAAAAACAAAACAAGAAAAATAAAATGACCCAAACAGTAAATAACATCCATAACAAAAATACAAACTTTTACAAATGGCAGCTTGTTCTTTTACAATGTTTGGCCGTAAAATAACATCTTTCTGTCTATAAATCAGCAAAAGCTATCACTATTTTACAGCAATTGTTCTTACGAGGGAGGGTCTAACCGTAGTTTACCCTAAACGGTGTCACTGCACATGTAGATTAGTGTGATGACGTCAGGAGAATAAAAACTTGTTTTTCTGGACTCTGGGAGGTTTAACAGAAACCTCCATGGATTAAAAGTTTAACAGAGAAACACCAAAACCCGGCTTTGTTTGCAGCTCTCTTTAATAAATGTTGATGACTGATAAAATGCTTCTTTGGGCCTCTTCAGGCTCTTTTGATGAATCTCTGGGTCCTGCATGCTACACAACATACAGCGAATCCGGGTTGTGTTACACCTCCTTAACTACAGTGTGCGATTGTGCAATTGGCTAAACGGATCGGTTTCGGTGTCTTGAGCAAAAAAATAAAAAATTGACATTATTCAGTTGTTTCTTTGGGCTGAGGATCTTTACCCCACAAGGATCAGAAAATCATATCAGCGCTGCTTTGGTTACAGTCTCGCATGAGCTGCGTGGAAGACGCGTCTTTGTTGCATTTGATAACATCACGAGTTATTTGATGCCCCGTTAGGATTTGAAAAATATGCAGGAGACGTGATAATGCACTCAGCACTGGTTAGTCCTGAATAAACTGTAAAGATGGAGACCGTGTGTTGATCAGAATTCAAGACGTGACTGAATTCTGACCATTAATGCACACAGAGGGGACTCACATCACAGACGGACAAACTAAATTGAAACGACAAGACGTTCTCACCCAGAACTCTTTGTGCCCCGAGAGGATTACTGTGTCTGAGGACGAAGGGGAAGAGGTGTGGAGGGCAAGTCGAGCAGGAAAGTGGGAGTTTCCAGTGAGCGTTAAAGGCTGGAAAGATGATCCAGGAAACAAAGAGGTGTAGTTTCTCCCTGTAAACATCCATTCATGTCGAGGTGTGTTGTAGTAAGAAATCAGAGACGGAAGGCTGCACGACGACTCGCTCGAGCTTTTAAATGTGACACATGAGGAAACTATTCAACATAGTGGGCACAGTCACAGAAACTATTAGTTTATATATACAGAAAAGACATTAGAGGTGTTAGATCAGCATTGTGGTGAAGCTACTGCATGAAAGTCCAGATGTTTAAACATCATCGCAGCATCTTAGGTTTTGTTTTTTAGTCCTGGATTGGTTTGTCTTGACAGGAAAGCAGCTGAAATGTTTTGCTGCATATGTTTAATCTTATAACTTTACAAACATACCAGAACGTTTTGCCCGTGAAGCATCCCCACATCATGATGATGCCACCGCCGTGCTTCACACTGGGGCCCAAATCTGCCTGCTTAATGTGTTAAAATGAGAAATACATGACTCATTATTCACGCCTTGGCTCCATAAACCTCCCTTTGATTGCTAGTGGACTTCTTGAAGAAAACAAAATCCATTTAGCTTCTATTAAGCTGCCGTAAACAACATCTACTGCAGTATTTTCACCTTACAGCTGCTGTTTAACACATCCTGAGCAGCGTTAGCACTCATTTGGAGTCGTGTTTGTATCTTCCTGACGAATATGAGTCCAATATTCACTCTCATTTTAATGTTTATTTGGCTTTTTACCTGCTTGAAGCTCCACCGTGTTCAGAGCTGGTGGCTAACTTTGTCTCAGGTGTTGTTGTTTTTTTAAAGAGACCAAAGAAAAGCTGCAGGTTTAAAGAAAAACCAAATAAATGAGCTGAAAGACATTGAAATGTCTGAAGGGAGGTGATCCTAGAAGATGCATCCTTTATAAGATTCTGCAGTGTGCATTCATGAACAAGAGCCAGGACTGACTTTTAGACATGCTGGTGAGGCGTCAGTGTTTGTGGTGGAGGTCAGAGGTGGAGGTCAGCCACAGAGCAGATCTCCTGCAGCTCACTAGATCCAGCTCATACATACAAACAGGGTTCCTCATGTTAATCCTCCGCCCGGCTCACCTCAGCGTCACAGTTCAGACATTTTTTTAAAATAAAAAACGAGAGGTTTCATTATTCGGGATGTAAAACACAATGCATTCTTTATCATTGTGTGTGTGTGTGTGCTGCAGTGTGTAACTACACCCGCCACTGACTAAACTCTTTTGTGTCCTGACGGAGCTGGCAGGGGTTCCCATGGAGGTGTTTGTGTATTCATGTGCGGCCTGTAACCAGATCCAGAACCGAGGAGCTCGTCCAAGGTGTGTCTCTCCTCACACGGCCGGTTTAGTTGGGTTTGTGTGTTTGTCTGGAGGTTAAGATCTGAGCCTCTGACAGTTTTATGTTTCATGATGTGAAAATAAACCATTAAAACACACCCTGGGTGAATTTACAGGCTTTTAATAGAACTGTTGGAGGACTTTGACCAAGACAGACGTTAAAATGTGCTTGAAGGATGACTGGAGCTTGCAGGTAGTTAGTTTAGTAGGAGTGTGTGTTTAAAGATAAGAAGCTATCAGAAGTAGTTCCTTGTATGTAAAAGTACACATCTGGAAACATTAATAGAAACCACAGCTCAGATTAAAGCAGCAGACTGGGTGCAATGTGTCGTTATGATGGCAAGAAAAATATTATATGTATTGATTTTATGTATTATCCCACACTGATAGACATTTAAGTTTTGGATTGTTATATTTAGTGTATTTATTGTTTTGTGTTTTTGTTCCTGCCCATATGCAAAGTAGCTGCTAGCCAACTCTGGATGCAACTACTTTCCTGCACTGTCCCGGCAATAGAAACAAAGAATTAAAGCTAAAATAAAAATTTGATCATTTTATATTACTGTGCAGGCGCGGTGGTTAGCACCGTTGCCTCGCAGCTAGAAGGTCGCCGGTGAGGACACCCGGGATCTTTCTGCGTGGAGTTTGCATGTTCTCCTCGTGCAGCGTGGGTTCTCTCCGAGTTCTCCGGCTTCCTCCCACAAGGTCCAGAAACATGCTGAGGTTAATTGGGAATGTGAATGTGAGTGTGCTTGGTTGTCTGTCTCT